ATTGGTGACACTAAATGACAGAAACTGAGATTAAATTCAGTGGAATAAGCAGCTCTTTGATCAATTCAGAGGTGTCTGCAGAGTAGGATACAAAAAGTCAAGACGATGGCTTGACACTATCAAATTGCTGCTGTTTTTATGCACAACCCAGAGGTTTATCACTATGATGTGGTCACCATGCTTGACTTTTTTGACCATACATTTGTCTCTTGGCTGCTGAGAAGACGAAATAAGAGCCTCGATGGCACAGTGATTAGCGTGTTGTACTGCAGGCCACTTCTGCTGACTATCAGCTGCCTGCAATTTGACAATTCAAATCCCACCAGGCTCAAGGTTGACTGTGTTATGTATTAACATACATACCTGCAATTGGTTGGTCTGTGGCGGCGGGAGATTTGAAGAGCCATCACTGGATACAGCCACGAGCAGCCCAACTATAAAAAGGGCTGCCGTGGTTTCTTCGGCGCTCAGTCCTAGACAGAAGTAAAACAATTGACAATCATGCTGGTGTCCTGAGTTAACAACTTAACTGCAACTTAACAGCCTCAGCCTTCCATCTTTCTGAGGTTGGTAAAATGAGGACCCAGATTGTTGGGGGCAATAGGATGACTCTATAAAACTGCTTAAAGGGCTATAAAGTAGTATATAAGTCTAAGTGCTATTGCTATTGCAAATTTATATTCCAGTTATGCTCACTTGTTGGAAAGACAGTATATGAAGGAGTAAGCCAACAAGAAGGGACGAACACTTACCATATTGGGGAAGAAGAAAACAACAGCATTCATAATTTCAAAATCTCTTGATATATCTATCTCTCTATTTATGCCCATTATAGCTTTGTGAATAAATGTTTTTCCTCTCCAGATAAAATTATATGACTAAGAGGGAAGAATATTTTAAGATGTGTAAACCACATGTTTTGTGTTTTGGGGGGCGGGGGGGGTTGATTTAGGCAGTTATTTATAGGATCGTGGCTCAATTAATTATTTTGTTCAGAGCAGCCCACAAGTGACAGTAATTATCTTTCTAACAGGGTTTTTTTGTCCACTTGCAGTGTATACATCCTCATCTCGCTTGTGCAAAGAAGAGTGTGGGTATATGGGCATGGTGTTACTTATTTTGATTTGTTTGTTTTGATACCCTGGTACAGTAAGGACTTTTGAGAGTGTGTGGAGAAAACCAGAGGGTGAAAATACAAATGCATCCATGACAAGAGGAAAACAAGTGTGTGTATATGCGGACGATGGGCGACAGTGTCTCAGTGGGAAATAAAACAGCTCTTTAGATCAGGAACTTGGCTTCTGCCTTGTGAAGCATCTAAGTTATGTATCTATCCATCTCTGTGACTAGCAATGAGCAGGCAAGATTAGGCCTCCAGGAAAACTAAACAGGCTTAGTGGGGAAGAATCTGCCAGGATGATACAGATGGCATTTCTGAATCCTTTCCCTTTTCTGAGGGTGTCTTTTTCCTGTTTCTTCTGGAGTTTGAGCTGTCTTGGTGAAGTGTCCCAGAGTTGGTAATGGTTTGTTCTCTGAGCTTGTTGTTTAGTTTCTGAATGTTTTATCACCAGGCTAGGTAACAAATGAATAAGTGTCTTATCTCAGTTCTCTTCTGTTTTTAGTAGCAGTATCCCAGTAATAGAAAAGCAACCCATCCATGCCAAACTATACCATTTAGTTTCCCTCCCACCATGCAGGAACTTCCTCTAAAAACGCTGTCCTTGATTATCATGAGATCGTGGCCCTTCCCTCTATCTGAGTGCAGGCTTGGATGATGTGAGGGAGACAGCAAAAATAAAAATGCATCCGTTGTCCAGTAAAAGAATGCCCATGCCTTGGTTGGATCCATTATGTTTTCCTCTTTTGCCCCAAAGTGGTTAGTTTTTCATCTATCAACATTTGAGGAGAAAAAGAAGAACATTCCTCTACCTAATCATACAATGATCTCCCTTGTTCCTGAAGAGCATTTTGGAATAAATTCTGTTCTGTATTGCCTCATTAGCATTCTTGTAACCCCTCGTCCTGATTGGCCAGGACACACGGCATCAGATTGGCTGAGTGAGCCGCAGCGATTGGCCCGCTGCGAATCTCCCGCAATCGGTGGAAACCGATCGCGGGGGATTCAAAGCGGTATCATTGGCTGCGGCTGGCTAGGCGACTTCAATATAAGCCGCCACCGATCCGAGGGAGAGCCAAGCCAATCTCAGACTAAATAAAGAGCTTAAAAAGAGTCACTGAGTCTAGCGTCTCCTTTCTTCTGGCAATCGGCGAACATGACAAATTCAGTCTTCACTGATGGAAGGATTTTACAAGGGAAAACAATCAGGGGTGAGATTCTACTGGTTCGGACTGTAGTTCATGAACCAGAGCATCTGGTGATCATTTGGCCCTGCCCACCTGCTCCTGCCCTTTTCCTGTGCTTTATTTCCTTGTTTTTGAGCACAGCTGATTCGCGCGGCAGAGCAGTTTGCCGCGCATCAGCTGTTTTACTCACTGGAGCTGCAGCAGAAGGTAAGTATTATAGCGAAAAATGGTCTTTTCTAAATGCTGGAGGCACACACACACACTCTCAACCAAACCGGTTCTTACACTGTTTGAATCGCACCACTGAAACAATCTCTAGTCCTAGAATAAATTTGTGTCCCTTTTGATAATTCTTAGACTCTGCTGACTCTAAGAGTTGAAAACAAATAGCAGTTCCCTGTATTATCAGGCAGGGAACATAACAACCTCATGCGAAACATGTACGGAGACTTACCACAGTCTAAGCCAGCTCCCAAAATTATCCCTCCCTAAAACACAGCTTCACCCACATATTACTATGATGGTGCTATTCCGGATCACCTTAAATTTCTTCTCTATAATAACAGGAATTCACAATCAAACTTCTTATCCATTGCCACTCCTTTGAAAGGCATGTGGAGGAAACCTTGATTCGGTGTCCAACACAATGTTTCACAGAAAATCAGTTTTGTAACCATATCCAAACCCTTCTGAAGTCTTCTTTCCTCTTGCAGCAGTCTAGGCCAGAGGTCTGCACAAGGGTGCCATAATGGGAGATATACTTTGGGATCTCACATTGTGTGAAGCCTTGGTTTGTTTTAATTTGTTGAAAATGGTATAGTGCAATAGTCTATATAGAATGCTATATAAAAGTCTATATAAAATGTAAAACAGCAGACACGAACTGCTATTCATATAGTATATCTGGAGGTAAACATCACTGGAATTTAATGAGCTCTTAAGTTTTGCATTTTCTCAATCAATGTCATTGTTGAGATTTCATTATAAAGGCACATTTACTGTAAGTGCACAAATGTTATCACCAATTACTCGTAATTGAGCTAGAGATCAGTCTGTATGCATGCACACATAAGTTACATTTTTGGTTCATTGGATATAAACACAGATAGCCAAGAATGGATCATGTTCTTCTTTGAATTAACTACCCAAAACAAATTTTGAGTAGCAAAAATCAGTAGTCTGGTACCACCCTTTTTCTGATACATGTTTTTTTTTTAAATTAAAATGCATACATTTTCATGAGCTCATTTCATCGGTTATATAGATGTTTAGCAAAACAGATTTCTTAGAACCAGAAAAGAAACAGTTCAAATGCACTGCAAGGGATGTGAGAACTCACCTGGAGAACACAATACATTAAAATTGTGTCATACATGATAAGTGTAGCCTCCTGCAGCGTAATGATAGTTTGTGGGTTTTAAACAACTCCTCTCCATTCGACAATGATTCCAAGAGAAGCGAAGAGTGTCATCTTGGGACCTGTCAATTCTAACTGCATAAGTAAAGACCAGTGAAATTGCCCATTTAATTAAGGTATTGCAAATTAGTTCATCAAGGCGGTAAAATCAACATAAGGGAATTAGATCGTGCATGAGGTGAACTGAAGTTAGGATTGTGACTAGGCTCAAATGGTAGGTGATTGCTTTGCTCACACCAGGACACGGGGAAACGCTCTTCTCCCTTCCTTAAGATAGTCATTGTGCCTATGGACTGGCACTGGGGAAGGCATATTCATCCCCACCCCCCTCATTATGTCACATATAATAAGCAGTAATGTTTTCCTTTTAAACAGCCCTTCCTTCTCCAGCTTCAGTTTCTTTCAGCCTCGGAGATAAATGCCAGTCATTTAAGACCCTTCAATCTATCCGGATATTAGCCAGATCCGATTGTGTTTTTCCACAGATCTTGAAAGAAAAAGATCATGAAGTAGAAAACTGTGCCGTCGACGCGTTTCATTTGCAGTACAAAACGTGCTTTTGCTTTATTCCACCAGAAGAGGGTGGTATTTAAGAAAGAACTTTGCGTCAGCCTGGGATTCCTATTGTGCTTAAAAACAGGCGAGGGGGAAAACAACCACAACTTTTCTCCTTGGCACCTTGCTAGACCTTGCCTGGAGCAGATGGTGAAAAACACCCAAAGTCCTTCATTACAAAAGGAATGCAACAGATTTTTCCCTTTGGAAGCTGGGAAGCCACGAGATCCGCAAAAGCTGCCAGGGGAACTTAAGGTTGTTTTCCTCTCTCTCTCCCTCTCTTTCTGTGCCAGAGCTGTCCTGTGTGGGTACTTTTTATTCTTCAGGAATACAGCATTTTCTCTAGCAAGGATGATCTGCTTCTGATGGGGAATCCATGGCCCTTTGGAAAAAGACAGAGCAATTACCCAACACTGGGTGAGTTTCCTTAAGCATTTTTTTTCTCTGCGTGGAAATTTTGTCAGGACCATTCAAATAAATGTGCTCTGGCTCCAAAGCAGCCGGATGATCTGTCTCTTTACCGAAGCTTTGTCGCACGCTTTCGCAAGGCTTCGCACCCTGCAGATAGATTTGGGTCCCCTTTCCTAGCCCTGCTGAAAGTTGTTGGACTTCAGATTGGCTAAGACGCTGCGAGTGCCGGCTTTTTGCAGAATTACTCAAGGTTTGTCCAAGGGAAGAAGCTGTTAGAAACACAGCTGCAATATATTTTTTTTTAAAAATAAAAATGACCGAGGATGTTAGTTTGCAAGAGCTGGACAGCGACAGGTCGGAAAAGAGTGAAGAGACGAAGATTATTGTTAATGTTGGAGGAGTAAGGCAGGTGCTATACGGGGATCACCTGAACCTGTATCCTGACACAAGGCTGGCAGAACTTGTGAACTGTTTATCAGGCGGTTACGATAGGATTTTTTCACTTTGTGATGACTACGATCCTGGGATAAGAGAGTTTTACTTTGACAGAGATCCAGATGCTTTCAAATGCATCATCGAGGTTTATGATTTTGGGGAGGTTCACATGAAGAAAGGCATCTGTCCCATTTGTTTCAAAAATGAAATGGAATTTTGGAAAGTGGACCTGAACTTCCTGGATGATTGCTGCAAAGCACATCTGAGTGAAAAAAAGGAAGAGCTAGAAGAGATTGCCCGTCGGGTCCAGTTGATCTTGGATGACTTGGGAATGGACTCTTCCGAAAACAGCTGGGCCAAGTGCAAAAAATGTATCTGGAAATTCCTGGAAAAACCTGAATCATCCTACCCAGCTCGAGTTACAGCCGTCACATCTTTTCTACTCATCTTGACCTCGTCTGTAGTGATGTGTGTGGGAACCATCCCAGAGCTGCAGGTGCTGGACTCTGAAGGCAAATCAGTAGAGCACCCAGTTCTGGATAAGATTGAGACCGCTTGTATTGTCTGGTTTACTCTTGAGTATGTCCTCAGGCTCATCTCTTCTCCTAATAAGTTGCACTTTGCTCTTTCTTTCATGAACATCATTGACGTTTTTGCAATCCTTCCTTTCTACATCAGCCTCATCCTGACCCATTTGGGCACCAAATTGATGGAATTAACCAATGTACAGCAAGCGGTCCAAGCCCTTCGGATCATGAGGGTGGCCAGGATTTTTAAACTGGCACGCCACTCCTCGGGACTACAGACACTGACCTATGCGCTTAAGAGGAGCTTTAAGGAACTGGGGCTTCTCCTGATGTATCTAGCCGTTGGGATCTTTATGTTTTCTGCCCTGGGTTACACAGTGGAGCAAAGTCATTCTGAAACCTTGTTTAAGAGCATCCCTCAGTCCTTTTGGTGGGCAATCATCACCATGACCACCGTGGGTTATGGAGACATCTACCCAAAGACAATGCTGGGGAAACTCAATGCGGCTATCAGTTTCCTTTGTGGGGTCATAGCCATTGCCTTGCCCATCCACCCCATCATTAACAACTTTGTGCGATACTACAACAAGCAGAGAGTGCTAGAGACAGCTACCAAGCATGAGTTGGAACTGATGGAGCTCAATGCAGGGGATCAGAAAGGCAGCGGCTCCCAAGATAAACCAGCACACCTTCTGGGGGATGGAAACAAACATTCCCGATGGAGCAGTCACCAGAAATTCTCTCACAGTGACACTTTCATTCACCTCCTGTCAGATGACAACTATTACCGAACCAGGCTTCAGAGTTGCAAGTAGTCTGAAGTCTGGAATAAAAGAGAAAGAATAGAGAGGGCTTCCTTTGAAGTCAGACTTTTTTTTTCTCCCACAGGCTTAGAACATACAAATATCTCAGCGTCTCCACTTTCTTTTGGTAAATCATGGATTAGAGAAACGGAAGAGTGCAGAGAATGTATAGCCTACCCTGCTGATGCAGACTGCCACTTCAGAAGCCAAAAAGAGAAATAAAAATAAAGATCTGTGAGTCTCTTGGGCCAGTTTCATGTTTCATGATTGCTAATACAACCGTATAAAATCTCAAAAGATGTTCTGCATAATAGTAAAAGCGAAAGCACATGAACTGGTCAAAGATCTCTCTGAGTTGCTTCATGGAAAAGTCATTTCAACATTGCTGAAAACTTGGTATGTACAGCACAAATGCAACCTAAGATTTTTACAAGTGAAATCCAGTTGAATATGTAATACTCTGAGAAATGTGTTTTTAAAAACCTGTAAGATTTGGTGATACAGAACTTCCCTTTTTAGCAAAGAAAAAAGATTGCTCCTGAAAGAACTATAATAAAATAATATTTATGCCAAATAAGATGATCTTCATTGGATATGTTTTTCTTGTTATGATTTCAGTTCCTTGTAGGAAAGTTCCTACTTTAAAACCTTACACCAGCCTTTAACCCTTTTATAACTAATACTGACATTCATTTGCCTTCAGTCTTGCCATACAGGAAAAATAAAAGCGATCAAAGGAAAACTTGTCACAACAGCATGTATTCTATTTATAGCGGTAAGATGTTTGTGCGGTTTCTAGCAATACAGCATTTGATTTCTTAACAAGGGGACAAATCTCTCATGTAGCCTAGGTTCTGAAGGATGCCTATGCAGCTTGGAGAATGTATACAATGATATCTATGGACGTAGCCAAATATAGTCAAACAAAACATTTGATAAACTGACACACTGTATGTATATATATATATATGGATGATGGCTTGATGTTTTTATGTTTTGTTTGTCTATGTTTGTCTCAAAAACCAATAAAAATTTAAAAAATTTTTTTTTGATAAAACTAAGGGACTTTAAATGGCCAGAGCCATTTATTTCTGGATGGGGTGGCTTTATTGTGCTTAGAATTTCATGGTACAATTCAACCCCAAAGTGTGATTGATAGTTTACATTTCAAGAGTGGCAGAAGAGAAATGAGTAACTGAAATTCTGGCAATATCAAAAAAAGTGCCCTAAATAGGTAGATTTAAGCCGCTGTCCCACCCACCCACTCCGCTAAACAGAATTGCTACAGTTGCGATGAAATTTATTGGAACTGGAGTTTGATATCGAAAACATATATTTCACTCACCAGCACTGCTTAGTTTTACAAGTCATGTGATAAGAATGCCTTGGATCCTTTTCTTATGTGAAGACTGTTGACATGTTTTCTGAGAAGTTCAGTCACATTGCCCAATGCTGAATAGCTGAGGCAAATAGAAAACAATGACAAACTTTTAATTTTGTAACACCCTTTTGACAGATGTCATAAGAGGAATGCAAATGTCCTCTGCCACTGTACTTGCTCTCTTGTGTTCATTTCTGATCCATCAAATTGGAGGGTAATTTTTTCAAAAAAAAAATCCTCGTGCTTCTACTTTCTTCTATGACTCGGAAGATCTCAGTAAGATGGCGTGCTATTTGTGGGACAAGTAGAAAAGGGTATGAGGCAATATTTAAACCCCTCAATTTTTTTAAAAAAACCAATCTTAATAGATTGTATGAAGAGCAAACGAAGTTGCATAGAAGGTGTTCTCTCTTTTTCTAGTCTGATATCCACCCCACAAGATCAATAGAAGCAGAAGCAGTGATTCAGCAAAGAACATCTCACTTTAGACTCGTGACCAAGTGGGATTTTGAATCATAGTCTTAGGCAATGGTGGGATTCAAATATTTTTACTACTGGTTCTGTGGGCATGGCTTGGTGGGCCTGGCTGGGGATGGTTACTGCAAAAACCCATTCCCTCCCCACCCCACTAACCTGCTTTCCAGCTCCATTCTCCTGTGCAGGGCAACCAAAGAAGACCCGGCCGATCAGCTGGGACTCAGGAGGCAGAGAATAGATGGGGGCGGAGCCAATCAGAAGCGGTATTTGCCAGTTCTCTGAACTACTCAAAATCTCTGCTACCGGTTCTCCAGAACTGGTCAGAACCTGCTGAACACCACTCTGGTCTTAGGGTTGCTAGATATCCCCCCACCCCCCAAACATTGAATGATTGTTATATTTGGAAACAAATAATTTACCACCAACTCAGAAACAGAAAATAGATTCTTGTGGATGGGGATAAAGATGTAAAGTAAATTGTAAGTAAAAGGATTTGGAATTCTCCAAATGCCCAAATACAAGTGCTAAATAAAATTGCCAACTAAATATTACTGCAGCCTTTAGTACAATTACTCTCATTTATAGCATTAAATTCATCTGGTAATGATTCCTTTTATTACAAGTAATTAATTCTTTAGTTAGAGGCCTGAGTAAGAAGCAACACATACGTTTCACCACTCCAGAAACACACTAGGAAGGTACAGGACTCTTCTAAAATAAAAGGACTCCTGTGCCATGTTTCTCGGGGCTTGGCCATGACAGAAGATAGCATTCAAACTAGACCTAGTGGCAGATCTAGGTCCTTCACAACTCAGCCCAAATTCGTCTCCACAAAAATCTAGAAACCTCTTCACTATAACAACAACCATAACAGCTGTCAGCTATACCAGGTAAACTAGACAGGAAACATGACCAGATAAGTTAATTCTACTTTTTTGTGAAGCTATATGAAGAGAATCTTGCAAGCCTGAAAGTATCATTTTCCTACTATCCCCTTTACAGTCCAATAACTTAGGGGAGATCTCCTGTGCTTCTTGTTTTGCCCACTATGCAACTGTGGGTTGTGTTGCCTCTTATCTGACCATTCCCTGGACAGCATCTTTTTGCCTAATATTCCATGGTCATTACATCAACAGAGGCTGTGTGCGTGGCCAAGGGGCACTTTCCCCTTTTTTTTACTCCCTTCTCCACTTGTTGGCTACACAACTGGCATTGGTAGAGCATCGATTAATTATTTACTTTTCAAATTCACACCCAGATTTGAAAGCCAAGAAAGTCAAGCCCGCTGTTCCTAGCTGATTAGCAATTGTAGTCTGAGGCATCTGCTGCTTCATCTTGGTTATTCATGAAGTCTTCCTTCATAGTTGTAATGCTGGATTTTGACTAAGGTGGCCCAGATTCAACTCCACCTTCAACATGTAAGTTTATCAGGTGATTTTTAGGCCAGTCACTCCATCACAATCCAGTCTGGCTTAGAGGGTTATCACTCTGGGATAATGGATGGGACTGGTCCACCACTAGAGGAAACAAGTTGGAAATTTATCACCAAACAACCTTGCCTTGAAGTATTCATTAAGCTGTTGGAACATAAACAGCAGTTTATAGTTTGTCTTGGAATAAAGATCTTGAGCTTCCCACGCTTATTCTGTTTCTCCAAACAATGAGAAATTCAAGAGATACAGCACTTACTGAGATCTTGCTGCATTCGAAAGAAAGCAGCTGACTTTTTATGATTTTATAAATTTATAAAAAAAACATTGATTCAACACTGATTGATCGATGACCAGAGCCCACTTCTTCCGTTTCAAGTCCTGGAAGAAAGAGTTACTCCTCCAGATGCCTCTCTCAATTTTCTGTAGCTTTTTCCTTCTCTATTTTGTAAAAAGAACAGTCAACTGTAGCCCAGTGAGACAAATGCCTCATCTCCCTTCTTTCATATGATGGGAGAAGATTTACAGGTAAAAGAGATGGCTACACCAGTCCAGCCAAGACTGGAAATTATATTTAAATATAATGTGAATTGACTGGAAACAACTTCAGACCCACAAATCCCTATTTCTGCAATCCAAACATGCTGGAAAAAAGGCTCATACTTCTTTCCCTCTGCCCAGCTTTTCCACCAGCTTTTTGTCTTGTGGACAACAGTTCTACCGCGTTGCATAAAAGTTAACTCTGGACTGAATCAAGAGATAGCTGTGTGATCATGTGAGTGGCAGGACCCTACAATATCCCTGGATCCCCAAAATTAAACAAAAATGCATTAACATAAAGTGCATTAATATTAGAACTAAAAAATAAAATAAAGGGAAGACAGAATATTGCCATACGTGGAATAGATTTTACCAACGGTTGGAATGGAGAGGTAGGAGTCGGAACATAAAATAACTAGGTTAAGCAGGCTCAGAATGTGACATTATATATGTACCAAAATGAGTATAAAAACAACTGTACAAAACTAGCAATGTATAAATAGTATGTATGTTATCTGTCTTTTATTTCAGGATGTATGGAGGAGGAAAACACCAGGAAGGGCACATTGTGCTCGATATTTATATATGTAAATTAATATATATGTGTGTATGTATGTATATATATATACACACACACACATATGCATACATACACACACACACACACACGCTGTACATACATTAGAAGTGGCAGAGATCTTGAAAGATCTTAGACTTTTTCATAGCAGTTTACAAGATTTAGGACATTTTTCATGTATTTTTTGGCTCCCTCACCTGATAATCCATAGTTCCTGTGGCTTCTTGCCTAAACCTGGCAGGGGAAATCAACTGTCCAGGTAGAAGCGGGAATGTGGGAGGAGTGGATTTGTTCTACCTATCTTTCAACAATTTCATTGGTGCTACTTGCCGCAAGTGGACTCCAGGCAAAAAGCTTGCTCAGGAGTCCACAACCTATAGTGGACTATTCCATTTATAAATCCTCTCACCTCCATTTTCTTTCCTCTCAGTTCTTTTCCTGGCTTGTTTTTTTTTCCCTACTGTCTCCCTTCTTTCCATTCATGGTGTTTGGTTTCTGCTTCGCCCTTCCATCATCACTTTTCTCCAGCTATTTTCTATCTCTTACTGTTTAAAAAGGGAAGTTGTGTGCTGCAACCAATGGAACCAACTTGCCTTCTGAAGTTGTG